TGCGAGATTTGATGAAAGGTTAAACGCTCCCTTAATTTAATGAAATTTTTAGTTTTCCTCTCATTTGATACGGGTTTGATGCCACGATTGGAGCCCAAAAAGTAGCGTGTTTCATCAAATTTAAATTTGATGACAAATCTAATACTAGGGTTGGAGATGGTTTAAGCCTCAATTATTTCTCTTTCGTTTGTTAATCTAAAGCTTACTAGCTGAGTACGATTTTGCCTAAATTTCTATTGGATTTATATATATATATATATATATGTATTCTTTCTCTACTCCTATACACATTGTTAAATTCTTATGAGTTATTACATAAAAGTCTTTGAAATTAGGGCTACATTTGTGTGGATGCATGAATGACCTTTACTTGTAAGCTGGGCTTTTTCTAAACAATTTTATGTTCTTGCAGGAATTCTCGCCGGATGGACGATTCATTATTAGTGCTGATCGGGATTTTAAAATTCGTGTAATTGACGATTCTTACCCATTGAAACAAATAAATTATTAAATATTAAATTCCATTTCAATTTGTTTTCAACAATGTTATTTTGTGACAGGTTACCCTGTTTCCAAAGAAGACTTTAGATGGAGCTCATGAGATACAGAGCTTTTGCCTTGGTCATTCTAAGTGAGTGAGTTTTTTATCTTCGAATATGTTGTAGAGCAGATGTGATTTCCATGAATAGTTTTCTGAATAGTTTTTCTCTACAATAGTGTATTAAAGCACTTTTCATTTATCAACAAGAAAAGCAAACAAGTGTTGCAATTCTTTGTAATAATAGTCTCTCTTATTCTGTGTGCATTGCAGGTTTGCACAAGCTCTCTCTATTGAACATGGAAGGTTGCCCTGTTACTGCAGCATCCTTTGACTCTCTTGCAGGTTCACTTTTGCCTTTTCTTCTCCTTTGAGTCATCGCCATTTTAGTTATGTTAATGGATATTGTGATAAATATTGCATTTTGAGAGAAGGGTATGTGGGCTGGTCAGTGTTTTCCCCTTCATTTTTTGGTTGGTGACTTGCCAACAGTAGGCTTATAGTTTATGTTGATGGGCTTGTGAAAATAATTTGCTATCGTTAAAATCCTTGGGATTTGATAGCCTAATTTCTATAACACAACAAAATTTTTGTAGGTCCTCTTAAGGGAGAGGATTCTGGCATATGAACTTTTGTTTGTTAATGCATAAAATTGGGATTCCAATTAAGAAAGGGAATATAGAGCTCAATTACAGTTGCCAACAATAGGCTTAAAGTTTATATTGATGGGCTTTAGTCTTTTTTGGGAAAATAATAAATAAAGAAATGTAATAAATCCCTTAAACAGAGCCTTCTGTTAAAACCTAAATTGTTTTTAAAGCTTCTTTTCAATTCTGGACAAAAACAAAAAATTTAGCCCTAGTTTTTGTTTAAATACTATTGAAGGAGTAAAGTTGTAACTTAAATCATAGATTTGTGTCCGGAGCAAAACTCTAACCACCTCTACCAAAAAAATTAAACAATTAAAAATAAATAAATGCAATCAAGTGATTAAGAAAATTAAGTTTACAAATTCTTCAATTTATGTTTATTTTGGTGAATCTTATTGTAATTTATGTTCTGATACAGGTATGTAGACCAATGAAGACTAACAGTGAACTCTCTCATCAATTTGAATCAATTTGAATTTAACTCATCCAAGCTTGAAATTTATGTTATAGGCAGGAATAGATTTTTGAAATGCAATCTAGTAAAGTTCAATAGTCTCTTACTTTGGTGATATCTTGAGTTGGGGATAATTTTCTTGGTCGTAATTTGCCATCTCTTGTATAGTTGGATCAATCATTATAGCTCAACACTGCTTTCTCTGTTAATATCTTTGTTAAAACATGATTTGTGAATATGTTGTTTTGTGGTTAATGGTGATTGGATATTAAATTGAATGGGAAAATGAACTAATGTTGTATTTGATATTTGAATGAGAGTTATTATTTCATATTAGTGTTATTTTTCAGTTTTTTTAGTTCATTCACATAAAATTAGCACAATTTTTTTTTAAAAAAAAGAGGCTATCACGGCGTTTCTAAAAACGTCGCTAAATATCATATCAACGGTTAGATTTTTTTAAAAAGAGATACGACGGCGTTTTAAAAACGTCGCTAAATAGCATGGTGATGTCATAGTAGAACTTTTAGTGGCATTTTTAGAAAACGTCGCCTATAGTAATATAGCGACGTTTATAAAGCGGCACAAAGTTATAGCGATGGTTGCATCTTCGACGCTTGGTGCTAAACGTCACAAAAGGTTTAGATGGCGTTTTTGGGACCTATAGCGGTGTTTTTTAAACGCCGCTAAAACCCTCATTTCCAAAAGTGTGATTATGGTCATGTTTTGTTATCTTTATCATTATCTATTTTTATTATTAGTATTATTATTATTATTGTTATTTTTGTTTAGTGCAAAATGTAATCAAGTAATTGTTCATGGCACAAAGTATGGTGAAAACGTGGCTTGATGGAGGTACAAGATGTGTCATGGAGTAATTCAAGGCATGATGAGTTATGGTGCGCATGAAGGAAAGTAGCAAAATGTGGGGCACAAAGTAGTAAACTGACATCAACGTGGCTTTGGGTTTGCCTAAGCCTATAAATAGACCAGAAGAAGACCAACATGGAGACACCTTCAATCCAATTCACAATACTTGTGAAATCTAAGAGTAACAGTAACTTATCATAGGGGTAGTTCAGTATTTGTATTTAGGAGTAGTTCTTAGCAAATTAGTGTTAGTTCTTGTAACCTGTTCTAGACCTGTCGATTGTAATGCTTAATGCTTGTAATTTGATTCTTGTAATTAAGTAATAAGTTTAAATGTTGCTAATTAAAATTTTAGTGTGTTTAATCCTTTGTTATTTCATATTACAATTTCCAAAGAAGTTCTTAAATCTGTCAAGGTATAGGACACTAACCACATTACTTGATTTATTTATTGTTTGTGAAAATTAGTTTTTTTGTCGAATTAACCCTGTCGCTTTCATCCAAACCAAATTTTTGCTAACATCGTGACAATGTCAATACCTTATGTGGAGGGAAAAATATGAGCCCAAGCCCAAGCCTAGTCACGACAGCCCAAGCCAAAAAGTGATAAGCCTAAACGCATCCCTTGAAGTCCACAAATGACAGCTAGCAACAACTTGTCATTAGACCTAGGCGTGTGAGGGGACAAAGCAATCATAAAAAATAGCCTTCTAGAAGGCCAAATTTGCTAAGTAAAGGAGAGAAGTCATAAACCTTCATCCAACGATGGGAAGCATAGAACATATAAGACTAGGATGTAGGTGGGACCTAATGAGAAGCAGAATCGTCTGATCAAGTTTACTTCTACGGACGAGATGCTCAGCAAGTTGGCCACTAACATCTTATATCATCTAAACCATCTATATATTAATGATCCAACAATCAAAGGGGAAGCATACTTGGCAAGTTGCCTGACCAAAACCAGGTTTGGCCAGAACCCTTCGATCAAAGCAAGATCCAACGGATGAGGTAAGAGCCATAATAGCTATAAAAAGAGTAAGCAAACAAGGCATAAGAGACAAGTAAGTGGGTTCTATCTAACTTGACCAAAACTCAATCAAATTTTGTACAAGCAATATTTTTTTTATGCTATACACAATAGCCGATCATAGTGTTGACTTGATCGTCGGAAAGTTCTCTTGGCCAATTCTGATCGGGAGTGATTACTGACATATGGTTTCTCATCGCAGAGCATAAAGGATTGGACGTATCATCTCACTTTTCATATAGAGATAATTTCACCCTCCACATCTTACCTATTAAAGTTCTTTCTTTTATCTAGCTATATTATGTATTATGTCCAAAGATAACATTGTACAACAGTTTATTTGGCATATACCAATTTTAATTTTTTTTTTCTCAATTTCATTTTGTGGACAAGAATTTTGGTGGTATTCATTACTGGAGATGATAATGAATCTGTAAAATTTATGTATTATTTAAGAGAAAATGACTGGTAAAGCATCATAACGTAGCTTTTATGTTTAAGTCATCAACTTTTAACTTGTTAGATCAAGTTTTGATCAATTGAGCTAATATGACCAGTCCTATAACTCTAACAATCACAAAATGTCAAATTTGATACCTTTTACCTAGATTTTATTAGGACAAAGGGTAATGATTGAGACCCTCGCCTTCACAAGACCTTTACAAATCTAAACCACTTATGATGTGAACCCTACACATACATGGAGGGTCAGGATCACTTTGGGAATGTGGGGGTCATCTCCAAAGGAGGTCCCAAACATTTTTCTAAGACAAAATGCCCATGAAAATTCAATCATGCTCTTGAATAAGAGGGCTTTTTTGTCAATTCACAATCTTTTCCTCTCTTCCTTGTCGTTTATGGAATATTAATGCTGTGTTTGTCGGGGATTTGAGGAAGGATTTGGAAAAAAAATAGAAAAGGTAGATGAAATGTAAATAAAATATAATTACATTTTACTTAGTTTCACATACCTTTTCCCTTTTCTTTTTTAAATCTCTCTCTAAATCTCCCAACCAAAAACAGTGTAATTGGTGGCCAAGACACAAATTTGACCGCAAACTAAAATTGAGATAGGCCAGCATGTGCTTGAAATGTTCATTTGACGAGACCCAAATAAAAAATGTTTGTTAAAGTTTCAAAATTGAACTTTTTGTTCACATGATCCAAGCTTATCATAATAGATAATTAGTTGGCGAAAGTTGAGAATCAATGTGGTGGTTGGTAAGAAATTTTATTCTATATAATGCTCATTTGACTTCATGCATTTTTAAATGAATGTTGGTTTAATTATCAGTTAAACTGTAAGGCCATGACTTAACCACACACAAAAAAAAAAAAACTGTAAGGCCTTTTGAATTTTTTCTTTTTATTTTTATTTTCTTTTGAGCTTTTCTAATGAAAAAGATTAAGATTTATAATTTATATTTTACAATTTTATGTATAATGACATAACAAATTTTATGTTAATTTTTTATTTATTATGGATTCAATTATATAGGTTAAACGCCTTTATTATGTTCTTGCGGGTGAATTGTGAAATTTATATTATGGTCCTAATATATTATTGATTATGACTATAATTCATAAGGGGAGAGAGGGTATTGAAAATATAAAGGAAATAATAATATTATAAATTCACCGTTATTAATTTAACAGTAATGATAGAAATTTTTACAAAACACAACTCTCACAATTTTCAAAATGATTTGGACTATTCATGTTACTGTGAGAGATAGAAAAAAAAAATTCAAACAAAATAATGATCAATACATCAGTAGGGATCATAAGAATCCTCGTGAGGGTCCCAAACATTTTCTTTAATTTAAAAGTTACCTAAAAGTTAATTTCCATTGCATCTTATATGGATCTCACATAAATTTTATGTTACATAAATTAATTTCTATCGCACAGTTATCACTAAAAAAATTCTAATTGGATAAGTTGGATTCCCAAACTTTTCCTAAAGAAATCAGGACAAAAAGATTCCCTCGGCTAGGAGAAATTATTCAATGTTCTAAAGAGTCCTCTAAAGGACAAAAAGGACAAAAGAAGATTCCCTCTCTAAAGGAAATTATTCAAAAGTAAAACCAATTATTTTTGTATTAAAATTTTAAAACACAACTGATTAGATGTCAATTTATAAATGAAATAAGCATTGAACAATTTCTCCTTCTCCAATAACAAATATCAAAAACGAAAAAAAGAAAGAAAAACAAAACCTCAAAATAATTTTGGGAGTCATTAAGAGATCTGCCTCCAAATTGACAATTAAAAATAAATAGAAAAACAAAACAAAATTGACTCTCAAAAATAAATAAAAAAACAAAACAAAATTGACTCTCAAACATAGGGGCGCTTTAGCAAGATGGTTAAAAGTTGATTTTTGACTTTTAATAGTTTTTAGCTTTTAAAAAAAAGTGATTTAAAAAATTATTAAAAAGTAGCTTTTGACTTTTGTTGGCTACATATTTTGTAAAAGACCAATTACAGTTCGACGCATGGCAGAGTAAGGGTAATATAGGAAGACTGTTCAAGTCTTCGATCTTGATCGTATACGTGACAGTTGATATTGTCTATTGCGTGGTCCGAGTAACATTGGATCAGTAAAGAGATGCAAGGTGATGTGGCTTCAGCAGTTACTCACATTCAAATTCAAATTCAAATTCAAATATAAGAGGGAAGCTTAACTGCAAGTGATAGCGTAGTGGAACTACTTGTAAGACAACATGATCAGTGATCACGGAGGAGCAGTTCGACAGTTTGAAGTGCAATTCGATGGTCATCTTTGAGGAGTATAAATAGCATGGAAGACCCCAGAAAAAGGCCCCAGACTCAGATCCAACAAACTAGTCTTACTTTACATATTTCTTTCCAGTTTTTATATTTCTTGTTCTTTACATTCTTGTACTTTAAATTTCTGCACTGCACTTCATTCATAGGAGTAGTTTCAAATAGATTGTCACTATAAACCTCTACGAGGCTGGATTTGGATCATTGTAAGTTTTTCATACTAATAAAATGCTTCAATTGCTCTTTATTTAACTATTCTTGTGTTTAAATTCTCTTAAATCAAGCCACCAGTAAAAGTCCTCTTCATTGAGGCTGGAAGAACTACAACACAATCGTCTAATAATTGTTTGGCAATTAAAATTCTGTAAGGACTGATTGATCCTTGCTAACACGCTCACAATTACAAAAATAACCTTTGAAAGCCAAAAAGCCAACATATATTTTTGGTACGCCCAGTGGGACTCATTTAAAATGGCTAGACGTAGGAGACAAGGAGAAAATGAACGCTTGGAAGAAGGCGTGGAAGGAGAGGTAGAGATACCTAATCCAGAGGATAATGTGATAACACATCCTGTGGAAACTCCTATTTTATCGGAATCTATGGTCGAACAGACCAG